TTTACTCCCTGCCATCTACACTATAGGACGGAGTGGAACCGCCCCTGTGGACTTCCAAGACTAACTCTTTACTGGCAATAGAAAGCCTCCTCTTTCTCCCCCGTAGGGTGGCTGCTGGCTTCGAATGAATTCGTGATCTTGAGGTTAGCTGCCCAAGTCATAACCTATTATGCCCCCCGGGACTCCCTGAGGACTGTCTTGGGGGATAGACAATGCCTTCTAGCTCGGTTTGGGATGTGTGAGCCTCCTCCTCTTTCTCCTCTTGGCTTCCAGAGCTGTTGAGTTCTGAGCAAGTCGGTTTTCAGATCCAATCCCTCAGTCTTTACCACCACCACCAGCCCCCGTGCAGCACCACCTCCGACTAGACCTGGGGTTCAGCGAGATTGCAGTCTTTGTATTTGCTTATTGCAACTTGGGAGCGCGTGGGTGGCCTGCAGACGCTTACACAAGTTGGGCTTTTTGCGAAAACACAGCTAGAGATTCGTTTTCTCCACCCTCGCACTCCTATGGATATGAGTACTTCCCAGCCCCCGCCGGAAACAGTTGTTCTTCCTCGGTGTCCAAAAGGAGACTGCTGAACTGTTCCGAGGCCCTGGTAAGAGTCAATATCAGACCCATGATTTAAATCTCTGCTTCCTACAGGTCGTTCCTGTTCCGCAGATGTTCGCTAGAACCTGTATTCCCGACCGCCGCCCTATCTCGCGTTGCGCAATTCGGGGCAAAAGTTGGTTTTATTGAGAGAGTTTACACCGCCCTGAGACCTTAGGAAGGAGGGTGGGGGGCTCCGACCCGACCGAATGTGGAAGGATTGATGTCTGTCCGCCCCAGGCTGGGGGAGAGAGGTTGGATGGGGGTGGGGGAAGTGTGGTGGGCGCCTTTAGCATTGAGATCTGTCCTTTTTCTCAAGGGACACGTCTTGTCTTTCAAGGCCAAGTTAAAAGCCCAGGTGCCCAGGGACTCCAGGAGCCCAGAAGTCTGGGCTGGGTACCGCCCACAGGGAGTTCTGAAGACCTGGCTTGTGAGGGTCGCTAGGGTTGAAAGGGTAGTAGAAGCTGCTTGGGTGTGAGTCAGTATGGCCCAAGGGCCCTCCGCCCCTCGAGGGTGGGGTGTCTACGGGGGAGGGCATTGGAATAGTACTGGACAAAGGAGACCGGGGCCCCACTTAACTCAAGGGGCCTCGAGCACACTTCGCGTCTCTGTAGACAAGGGCCTTACACGCACTCCAGAATGAGGAGTTGTGACATGGGACCGGTGACTTGGGGAGGCCGGGCAGTCGGCCAGGGGCAAGGGCCTGCCCGGGCTGGCTTCAGCCATCAGGGCCACCTCACCACCCGCCCAGATAAAGACCACATGCTGACACACGCCTGTCCAGCTTCTACACACTGCCACCCCCCTCCCCCCTCCCCCTGCTCCCCTTGGGAGAACTTTGCATCTGCGGAGGGGCCGGACACCTGCGATGAGAAGGCGGGAAGAATTGGAGCAACCAGAGAGCTGGAGAGAGCTGGCGAGATCGCCTCTCCATTCCCAGCCACTGTTAGTGCGCTCTCCCCGCTGGCCCGAATGGATTACTCCACCTATCTCCTCCCCCTCTCCTTGGGAGCAATCGAACGTTCCGCTGCCCCTCCGGTCCGGGCCTGTGTTGCTGGGGACGCTTGCACGGTTGCCAGGGAAAGCCCCGGACGTGACGGCGGTGCGCGACCCCGAGCAGCCCCCCCTCCTTCCCTCCCATCCGTCATTCCCTGCGCGTGTTCCCTCCTCCCACTCTCCCCCTCCCCCTGGGGTGCCTGCCCCGGGAGAAGTCAACAGCCGGCGGAGCCAGGCCCGCGGACCCTGGCCAGGTGGGAGTTTGCATGGGCCTGGGCGACCGCTCAGGGGTCTCGGGGACCCTCGGCAGTCCCGCTCGGTGCATTCGGAGGCTCCCGGGCCTAGGCGGGCAGCGCGCACAGCGCCCGCGCTGGAGGCGGAGCTGCGGGGGTGCGCGGACGTGGTAGGGGTGTGCGTGTGTGAAGGGGAGGGGCGGGAGGCCCCGGCGGGTGGAAAGTAGGTGACTCTGTAGCAAGGTCCCGGTGGGGACGGGGGTGGCTCGATTGGCAGGCGTCTGTGTCAGAGGGAGGCGGCATTGTCATCTCCCTCCCAGGCTGTGACCGGCCTTTCCGCAGGCATGCTGGGGCTCCGGGGGCTGCGGCTCCCCGCCACCGGGATCCTGTACCTATTGCCGCTGCTGCTGCTGCTGCCCACCTGGCCGGCGACCCCAGCGCCCCGCCGCGCCCCCCTCAAGCCGGTCATCGTGGTGCACGGGCTCTTCGACAGCTCGTACAGCTTCCGCCACCTGCTGGAATACATCAACCAGGTATGGCGGGGACCTTTGGGTGCAGGGTGGTGGAGGTGGAGAGGAACCGAAAGTCAGTGGCCGCGCTGTCCTGCCCCGCGCCTCGGGGAGGACGCTAACCTGATGCCAGCGTGGGCGGGAGGGCCTTCTTGGGAGTCCCTTCCCAGTGGCTGCCTTGCTCCCCCGCCACAGACACACCCGGGGACTGCGGTGACGGTGCTTGATCTTTTTGATGGGAGAGAGAGCCTGCGGCCCCTATGGGAACAGGTGCAAGGATTCCGAGAGGCTGTGGCGCCCATCATGGCGAAGGCCCCCCAAGGAGTACATCTCATCTGCTACTCTCAGGGTAGGTGATCCAACCCCCTGCTGCCTCCATCGCCTGAGCCCTGAGGCATGAACCCCCTCTGTGGGTCACTTCCCAATGCCCCTTTCTGTGAACCACGTAACCCTAGCTAGCGCCTTGACATCTCAGCCTGTCGTCTGTCCTGGCTTCCTCCCACCACACCTGGGTGGGACTTTTCTGTGTTCTCAATGGGGAGGAGGCTCCCTGAGTTGCTGTGCACTCCTTTCTCCAATTCCTGGGGTTGGCCCTCTTTCTCTGACAGAAGGGATGACCCAGCAAGCAGAGTTAGAGTCAGGAGGCCCAGCATCTAATTCTGGATCTGCCACTGCTGGGTCTTCTCACATAAGCCAGCCTCCCTTCTCCGAGCTTCCTTTATGAAGCAGTGTGGTGAGGGCAAGCTGGCAGCTCTGGGCCTGGCCCTCCCTGAGGCCCTGCCCACTGTGGTGCTCTGCCTACAGGGGGTCTGGTGTGCCGGGCGCTGCTCTCCGTCATGGATGACCACAATGTGGATTCATTCATCTCCCTGTCCTCTCCACAGATGGGACAGTATGGAGGTGAGTGGGCAGTGGGGAGAGCCATGGAGGCCTCTGAGTTTTGGGGGACAGACATTGGGAGCTGCTCAGCGCCGCCGTTCTCTTGCCAGACACAGACTATTTGAAATGGCTGTTCCCCACCTCCATGCGATCTAACCTTTACCGGATCTGCTATAGCCCCTGGGGCCAGGAATTCTCCATCTGCAACTACTGGCATGGTGAGTAGGGACTAGGGTCTCCGTGAAGGAAGGCGCTGTGCTGGCTGCTCCTCTCTTTAGCATAACCAGTGGCAATGAGGGTAACTTGCATTTCTGGGCGTGCTTATTTATTTGAACACAAAGAACTGTTTGAAATACTTTCTGTGTGCTACTTTATTATCTTGGAGAGTATGGTCTACTGCAGGGCTCAGCAAAGCTTTTCGAGAAAGGTTCCGATTCTAAAACCACACCCAGCGCCCACCAGTTAATTCTGAAAGGGTCAGCTAGCAGATATTTTTGCCTTTCCAGGCCACACGGTCTCTTTCACAAGCACTCCAATCTGTGGGGCGGCACACAAGCAACTTTAGACAATATGCCCGTGAATCAAACTTTATTTACAAAAATCAAATGATAGGCTGGATTTGTCCCATGGGACATAGTTTGTCAGCCCCCTAGTGCTTAAGACCCTCGGGTCAGGGCCGGGCTCCTTGGGTTTGAATTCCGACTATTGGATGACCTTGGGGAAGTGCCTTTATCTGTGACTCCATTTTCCTTATCTGTCATGGGATATCTTATCACACGTGCTTCACTGGGTGGTGTTAAGGACTGAAAAAAAAAAAGAATGAATACAATTGACTTTGAACAGTGCCTGACACATAGTAGGTCCTAGATACACATTCGCTATTCTTTTTTACTATAACCAGTGCCATGATTTAATAACTGCCCCTTGCCGGTTCTGGCAGCTTCCTGATGGGCTGGTCTTTCAGCCTCCCGTCTTCTTTGACTGTCTTTCTCCTGGATCTTTGAACCTAGACCCTCACCATGATGACTTGTACCTCAATGCCAGCAGCTTCCTGGCCCTGATCAATGGGGAGAGAAACCATCCCAATGCTACTGGTGAGACCCCACTTCCCACCCTACCTCTCCTTTTCTGCTTTCTTGGCCTCTAGGTGCCCCCACTTCAACCCAGCCTAACCCCTGGGGGTTAACCAGCCTTTCTTCTTACCACCCTGCAGCCTGGCGGAAGAACTTTCTCCGTGTGGGTCACCTGGTGCTGATTGGGGGCCCTGATGATGGTGTTATTACTCCTTGGCAGTCCAGGTAATGAAAAGCTGTGTGTAATTAATATTGACACCACCACCCCCACCTACCCTCACCAATTTTTTGTCTAGTTTTCAGCTTCAAATGTTTTTTATCTAAATGTCTATTATACATCTTTGTTCGGAGGCAACTTCCAACTCGTGCTTAAAACAGGCCTGCTTCTCCCTTTATTTGGTTAATAGCCTTTGATCCCCGGCCCTTTGAGTCTAGCTATGTTACTCAGCCCTACTTCCTAAATCTTAGTCACTAAGTGACTCTACATTCACAGGAAACTTCAAAGGCAGTACAGAGAGGTCCCATGTATCTCTCCCCCTTTTCCCCTGTGATTGCACTCTCTGTGCCTGTGGTTACCCGGTGGGCTGTGATCCTGGTGGTTGGCATTTTGAAACCATCAGCAGATCCGTGTGAGGAAGACTGGGCTGATCCACACCTGTAAACATTTACAGTTTCAGAGACCCACAGGGGTAACCGTGAGTCAGCCACGAGAGGGAGAGATGGTACGATCTTAACATGGCAGCGAGAGACAGCACAATATCAAACCAGGAAAGCGACATTACTTGAACGTGTGTCATTTCATCACCTTTTCTTCCACCCCTTTGACTGACAAGCGCCGGGGCACAGTGGATTGCCAGTGAGATTGCTAACAACGAGGGCACGAGCTCGAACCCATCAGCTACTCCTCGGGAGAACGATAACGCTCTCTGTTCCCAGAATGACTTCCAGCCTTGGAACCCCACAGGATGTTCTGTTCTGACCCAGAGGGCCACTCTGGGACACAATGGACCAATGGCAGTGACTCGGGGGTGTAGCTCTTTCACTAACAACCTCAAGCTGCCTTCCTGCCTCTAAACTGCTCCTCAAGAAAAATGCATGGTTCCCGGGACCATCATGGGGGGTCACACATTGGGCTGCTAACCGCAAGGTCAGCAGTTCACAGCCGCCGGCTGCTCTTCGGGAGAAAGACCAGGCTCTCTCCTCCTATCAAGAGTTCCAGTCTCGGAAACCACAGGGCCAGGTCCACCCTGCCCTATAGGGTCGTTAGGAGTCCAGATCGACTCAGTAACAGTGAGTTTGAGGGCATAAATGATCTGATGTGCCTGAATTTGGTCATTCCATAAACATTTATTGAGCACTACTCTTTGCCCTCCCTGAGCGGTGCCAATCATTTGTACTGGACTGCTAAGCTACAGGTCAGTGGTGTCAACTCACCCGGCAGTTCTATGGAAGAACGAGGAGAGCCAGGAAAAAAAGCCTGCGGAGCATCTTCTCTGTAATACACACCGCCACCATGAGTCAGAATTGGCCCAGCAGGTTTGAGCTGAGTGTACTTTAGGTACAGGCACTGTGCTGGGCCCTGCAGGTACAGCGGTGCATCCCAAAGGAGTCCCCGCTGCCAGCCAGCTTACATTTCCAGTGGAGGAGCCAGATGAACCCAACACCAAACCCATGCCACGGAGACGATTCTGCCTCTCGGCAACCCTATAGAACAGAGTAGAAGCAGCTGGCACACAGGGTTGCCCGGGCCTCTGGGTCTTTACAGAAGCAGGCTGCCTGGTCTCCCTCCTGCAGAGCAGCTGGGGGTGTACTGCCAACCTTTCCATCGGCAGCCCGATGCATAACACACTGCACCACCTGGGCTCCTTGGGAAGACAGATAACAATGTAGATGTGTGTATCGGGTTAGTAATACAATAAGGCAGAGGGAGGGATTCAAGGATGACTAGGATGTCTCAGATCCTGCCGGAGGGAGAACTCCTCCTGGGGGAGGTGCCTGGAACTCAAGGAAGGAAGGGAGGGAGTGTTGCAGCTCTGGGGAAAGGGGGACCCACCCTGGGGGAGCAGCAGCCCCTGCAAAGGCCCTGGGGAAGGACCACCGAGGTACAGCCAGCGCACTGGGAGCAGGGAGTGGTGGAGGAGGTGAGGAGAGAGGTGGGATGAGGCCAATTATTTGAAGTGAGAGGAGCCCTGGTGATACAGTGGTTATGCATTGGGCTGCATCCACAGGGTGGGCGGTTCAAAACCACCAGCGGCTCCGAGGGAGAAAGCCTGGGCTTTCTACTCCCACCCCGCCATCCCCCTACCCTCATTGACAGTCTCTGAGACCCAGAGGGGGTCGCTATGAGTCAGCATGGACTCCGATGACAGAGAGTTTGTGTGAGTGAGATGGAAGCCATTGGAGGGGGTCAGGTGACGATGTTTATGACAGCAAGGGTGGAGTTTGATTTCCATGATCTCCTTTCACGTTTCTGTCAACTCTATTAGTGAAAGCAATGTGAGGGGACTTCAGAAATTTGTGGAAAAACAAAACCTTTCAACAAACAAACAACCCAAAACCTTTCCACGAACTCTTTTGAAGTCTCATAGTTGATTGGGTAATTTCTTAAAATTCATCATTTTATCGGGGAGGGCTCTTACAAATCTTAGACAATCCACTATTCAATTGTATTAAGCACACTTGTACATATGCTGCCATCAACGTTTCCAAACATGTTCTTTTTTCTTGAGCCCTTGGTATCAGCTCCTCCTTTTGCCCCTCCCTTCCACCCTCGTCAATTCTTGATCAATTATATATTATTGTTATCTCATGTCTTGCACTGTCCGTTGTCTCCCTTCACCCACATTTCTGTTATTTGTTCCCCCCAGGGGGGTGCTATATATCTAACCTTGTGATGGGTCCCCCCTTTCTCCCTCCCACCCCCCCATCCCCCTCCCCTCATGATATCGCTACCCCCACTACTGTTCCTGAGGGTTTATCTGTCCTGAATTCCATGCCTCGAGAGTGCTTATCTGTACCAATGTGTGTTCTCCGGTCTAGCCAGATTTGTGCGGTAGAACTGGGTCATGGTAGTGGGGGGAGGAAGCATTCAGGAACTAGAGGAATGATGTGTGTTTCCCTGGTGCTATACTGCACCTTGGTTGAATCGTCCCTTCCTTTTGTGGTGGTTAATAGGTTGGGTTTTTTTAATCGTTTTATTAGGGGCCCATACAACTCATTACAATCCATACATACATGAATTGTGTCAAGCACACTTGTACATTCATTGCCCTCATCATTCTCAAAACATTTGCTCTCCACTTAAGCCCCTGGCATCAGCTCCTCTTTTTCCCCCTCCCTCATGAACCCTTGATAATTTATAAATTATTATTTTGTCATATCTTGTCCTGTCCGATGTCTTCCTTCACCCACTTGTCTGTTGTCCGTCCCCCAGGGAGGAGGTCACATGTAGATCCTTGTAATCTGTTCCCCCTTTCCAACCCACTCTCCCTCTACCCTCCCAGTATCACCACTCACACCACTGGTCCTGAAGGGATCATCTGCCCTGTATTCCCTGTGTTTCCAGTTCCTATCTGTACCAGTGTACATCCTCTGGTCTAGCCAGACTTGCAAGGTACAAACAGGATCATGATAGTGGGCGGGGGAGGAAACATTTAGGAACTAGAGGAAAGTTGTATTTTTCATCGTTGCTACATCGCACCCTGTCTGGCTCATCTCCTCCCGGTAATAGGATTATTTAATAGTTAAAGTTTCCTCATGGTTAGTAGCAAGTTTTTGTTTTCAGTACTTTACACCTATTTGCTTGTTTCATCCTCTCAGCAACCCTATAGGCTGTTATTATTCATTCCCATGTGGCACGAGGCGGAGACTGGGGCACAGAGAGATTGCCTAACTGGTTTAAGTTTCCAGTTGGTAAGTGGTGAAGTCAGGCTCACTCACAGCCACCGTGTGTGACTGCGCTTCGGGGGCAGGTGTTCTATGGAGAACTGAGAGGCCGGGAAGCCTCACACACCGTGGGGAGAGCCCGAGGCTGAGCTGGGATGCAAATCCAGGTCCCTGTGGCCTGACTGCTTTCTTTGTTGGCTGCCATTCATGGTGATTCTAGGCCTTTGTGATCCATACAGTTTCTTTTTTTAAAAAACAAACACATATTTTTCCCCTCTCGGTTTGAGAGACTCGAAGTCCGGATGGAGAGTGTTGAGGCTCAAGTCCAAATGCAGCATGCCGATGTGAGGGCTTGCCATGAGTCTCCTCTTGTTCAAAGACCTTCACCTTGCAGAGACCCCAGGGCCGGAGGACATACTCCATTCCCAGCTCTTCTTTCTTGGTGATAATCGGTCCCTCCCACCTGTAGATTCACTGGCAGTTTTTCAGAAGTAGAATTCCTAGCCCTTATGAAATCTAGTTCCTCAATCTGGCCTCCAGGTTCCCAAGCCAGCTGTCCCTCACCTCCGTGCCCCCACCCTCACGTTCCCGCAGCCTGAGATGACCTTCCCCAGGCTTGTGGCTGGGAAGCCTTTAGGAATGGTCTAAGGCTAGGGTAGGGGATTCACCTCTCTGCCTCCATCCCCTGGATTTACTCCCATTAATATCTGTCTATTGTTCATAGCCGCCATCTGTTCAGTACCCATGCCTGTTAAATATTCTTGATTGTAGCGTATTTGTAATCCTTTTTATTTCGAAGTTCATACTTAAGTTACCACAAGAGTCCAATTCCTGCATAGCCCTTTACTTAACGTTTCCAAAGTGCCAGGATCTTACCACATTTGTGTTAGTATTCTTTCTTTCCCGATTCATCTGTCCGTCCATCCATCCGTTGAATACCTACCTACCTTCTTCACAGAGAGGCAGTAGGGCAGCCTGACTTCATTACTCACTAACCTTGAACTTAGGCAAGTTATTTAATCTCTCTGTACCTCAGCCTCCTCATATGTCAAGTGGGGATAATAGTCTTTACCAAATAGGCTTATTGTGAGGATTAAACGGGCTGCTACATAAACAGTACTTAGAAAAGTTTTGAAGCCAAAAAGAATGCTAGCTATTACTCATTCACAGGGTGCCTAGCACCCTCTTTCTCTGTCTTTTAAGCGGAGGTTGCAGGCGTGCTGCCCTTTTGCCCCTAAAGAGCTCAGTGTGTTCCCTGGAAACAGGACAGTCTCTTATACCACAATAGAAGATTCACTTTTGTTTTTCCTGAGACAAAAAGAAAAAAAGAAGAACCCCACACCAGTGTCAGCTGTTGAACGCATGTCAACATGGGGTGCCCCCATCGTGCAGTTTACAGCTATGCTCCATCGGGTTTTCAACGCGAAGCTTTTGAAACTCGGTCCCCAGCTCTTTTTCCCAAGGCATCCCTGGGGGGGAGGCTCTCAGGCCTGCGACCTTTCACGTAGTCCAATGTGCGAGCCGTTTGCACCACCAAGGGGCTCCGCACAGCCACCCCCCAGAAGTAAAGTGACAGCAGCCGCCTGGATACCCTGTTCAAGTTGGCCCCGTTGCTCCGGCACAGCGGGCTCCACTTCAAACCCACCGGCTGCTCCGTGGGGGAGACCAGGCTTTCCGTTCCTGGCCGCTTGGCCTGGTCCTGTAGGGTTGCCGGGAGTCCGCTTCGACTCAATGGCAGGAAGTCTGTTTTTTATATGGGGCTGGGGGGATCTAGTGCAGGCACAACCCAGGATCACGTGTTGCATTTAATTGTTTCTTTTCAACCCACTGCTGTCAAGTTGATCCCAACTCTTGGAGCCCCTATGAGGACAGAATGGATCTGCCCTGTAGGGCTTCCGAGACGGCACATCTTCATGGCAGCAGCCGGTGAGGAGGAAGCGCCCACCTTTGGGCTCACAGTCCAATGCTTACCCACTCGCGAGACCAGGGCTTCTTGTGGGGTCTTCTAGAATCTGGCAGTGCCTCGATCTTTGTCTTTTATGGCCTGGGCTTTTTGGAAGCGTCTAGGCCTGCTCTTCTGTCGACTGCCCCTCCCTTTGGGTGTGTAGGATGTTTCCTCCGGATCAGATTCAGGGGAGACATTTTTGCTGGGAATTTTGCATGTTCAGTACATCACCTCGTGAGCTGCTCCAGAGCAGGTGAACGATCTTGAGTGCCCTCCCTGGTGCCTGTCCCCAGCAGGCTGGGAAGTCCTGAAGGGCACTAGCCCACCTTCCTTTCCTCCGATCTCTTTGTAGCTTCTTTGGTTTCTATGATGCAAACGAGACTGTCTTAGAGATGGAAGAACAATTGGTGAGCCTCCGGGGGATCCTGCTCCCCCCTCCCTACCCCCTGCCTGCACTGTCCAGCCTCATTCTGGAACCTTCCCTGGCACTGCCTCTTGATCTGAAGGGTTCGCGCTGTGGGTGGGGGGGCTGGCATAGCAGCTGTCACTCACTGGGCCATTCTGTGTGTCTTTCCTTCCATGCTTCCGTGACTCTTCGCCCACCTCGAAGGTTTATCTGAGGGACTCTTTTGGACTGAAGACTCTCGTGGCCCGGGGGGCCATAGTGAGGTGCCCGATGGCTGGGATCCCCCACACAGCCTGGCATTCCAACCTCACCCTTTATGAGACCTGCATTGAACCCTGGCTCTCATGAGGACGTCTGCAGGGGTCCCCCGGGAGCCCTTCACTCACCCACCCAGCTCAGAGACTCCGTGGCGGCCTTGGAAAGCGGATGTCAAGCTCTGGTGTGCTGACCACCTCATTGCTCCCACACTGTCTGCCACCCCCACCCCCCAACCAGGGCTCCCAGAAACCCTGATCCTCTGTGAATGACATGGCCTGGTCTCCCCTGCCTGGGGTCTTCTCTTTGGAGGGGCAGCGCCATGCTCTCCCTTCCCACAGGCCGAGGCCGGGGGAAACCAGGGTTTCACCTGTGGCTGCTGCCGCTGCTGCTCTGTATTTGCGCAGGAGGGGGACCCAGCCCCGCCCACCCCAGGGGTCTCCTTCAGGCCACTCAGGACATTTTTAGCTTCTTCTCCCCATGTCCCCTTTTCCTCTGAATGCCGGGACTGTTAGCCCTCCCCCCACCCCCACCCCCGGCAGGCCTGCCCCTGAGAGTGGGGTTCTGAGGCTCCCCTATGGGGACAGTTCCGTTCTCGAAGTGTCAGTGTTGGGGAATATCTGTGGCCTGCAAGGCCCATCTCAGGTTTGGGATCCCCCAGTCCCTATGTTCAGTGTTGGGGTACCCCCCTGGGAGCCAAATTTCTGAGGCCCCAGCCCCTCTTTTAGCTCCCCTTGAATATGGGGTCTTTCACCTGTATTTATGGAAATAAAACTCCCTTTCCTCCGCGTGGCTTGGCGCGTTTCCAGGTGAGGGGGACCTGGCTCTCCAAGGAGGGTGGAGATGGAGAGCCTGAGGCCTGGGTGCCCGGATGCCTGGGCTGGGGTGGGGACCCCCTTGGTGTTTCCGTTCCCTCAATGCCCATTCTGTGTGGGTTCCTGATTCTCTGCGGGTTCTTTCCTGCTGAGGACAATTCTTTTCCTGTCCCAACCTAACATTGGGGGGCTGAGCCAGGGGCCCCAGTCCCAGAGGGTGGAATGTGCCTGCCACCCCCAGGCTAGACGAGGGGCCAAGGGTTAGGGTGGGCATTTGTTGCGCCCCTTCTCGACCTTTGTGGACCAGAGCTGGATGAGGGGGTCGGACAATGAGCCTCCTCTTTCCTAAAAGAAGGAATTTTGCCTGGGACAATAGGGCCCTGTCTGCTCTGGTAAGGGGGTGGTGGTGGCTGACTCAACCATGTGCCCCCCACTCCAGCCCTAACAAATGTCATCAAGCGATGGGGGCAATTTTCCCCCTGGTGCCTTGGGCTGTCCCCCGCCCAGCCGCCCCTTTGTGACGACTTGTCCTTTCATTTTCCTTGGTGGCTCTTGCCCCTTCTCCCATGACCCAAGCCCACGTTATTCCCTCAGCTCTGTTCCCCGCTACCCGTGGAAGCTCTTGAGCCCAAGTCTGGCTTGGGGTGACGGTGATGGGGGTGGGGGGAAGGGCACTGGTGATAGTGTAGCCTGCTGATTGGGGGTGTGGGGGTGGTCCAAAAACAGGTCCTCAGAGTACTGGGAAGAAATCCCGTGAGGGCCTTTTGCTGGGGGAGAGCAGGACTTGAACTTCGCTGAGCTGACCCTGCTGGAGCTGAGGAGGTGACTGGTGGGCGGAGGCTGCAGAGGTGGGAGGACTTTGCCTGGCTCAAGCCCGCCTTCCCAGTCTGCCCACCAGTGTGAGCTACTGCTGCTGCTGGCCTGGTCAGCCTGCACTCTGGGGAGAGAAAAGCCAGGTGGGACTGGGGAGAGGCGAGGGGAGGGGAGGGCAGGGGGGCGGCGGGAGGGCTGCTCCCTCAGGACCTTAGGGAGGGTGTGCGATGGGTGTAGTGCGTGCGATGTGTCCAGGGAGGGGGTTGGGTTGGGGTGGGGGTAAGGTGGGAGGAGGCCCAGAGCCTGGCCAAGGGGGAGCTGTGTGTATTTAGGGGGTCGAGGTATGAAGATCAAGGGCAGGTTTGAGACAGGAGAGCCACTAGTCTCTCAGGCTGTGTGGAGGCCAGGTTTGGCTAGGTTGGAGGGGTGTGTAGGGGATCAGCCATACTGGAGGGTGTCCTGCTGAGAAGCGGAAAGGAGGGGCATGGCTGCAGGTGAAGACTTCTCTGGAGGTGGGTGCCAAGGAGCTCCTTAGGAGGGACCAGCAGAAATCCTCTTGGTGGGACTGGCCTCCATTAACCTCTACCTGCCTGCAGCCCACAGAGTCTGACGTCAAGGGGAACCATGGGTTCAGGGGCTGAGCTGTGCAGGCTCTTACTCGGACTCCCATTGCTGCTGCTGTTGATGCCCGGAGAAAGGGCCAGGGGCGGCCCCCTCAAAGAGAGGTGACAACAGAGGGGGCAGGGCTGGGGGAGAGGAGAGGTAGTGCTGGATCACAGGCGGTCGGTCGGTCGCAGTGGGGCCTTGAGTGGGGCGGGGCTCCCCACGACCTTGGCTCACTGGGGCCTCCTGCCTGACCTGGGGACAGCCGTGGAGTTTGCTCCAAGCAGTCGCTGGTGGTTCCTCTCCGCTACAACGAATCCTACAGCCAACCCGTGTACAAGCCCTACCTGACCCTGTGCCCCGGACGGCGGATCTGCAGCACCTACAGGTGAGGGAGGGCTGGCGGGAGCCCCAGGAGCCCCGCCCCGGGAACTGCCACCCAGTGTCCGAGCTGTCGCTGTGCCCTAGGACCACGTACCGAGTGGCGTGGAGGGAGGTGAGGCGGGAGGTGCAGCAGGCCCACGCCATCTGCTGTCAGGGCTGGAAGAAGCGGCATCCCGGGGCGCTCACCTGTGAAGGTGAGGCTGGGTCTGCCCAGGCCTTGGGGGAGGCCCGACCAATGGGGCTTGGAGCCGGTCACCGTAGACCCACCCCTCTCCCCTCTCTCCGCAGCCGTGTGCACCAAGCCCTGCCAGCACGGAGGCACCTGTGTGCGGCCCGAGCAGTGCGAGTGCGCCCCTGGCTGGGGGGGCAAGCACTGCCACGTGGGTGCGTCTGCTGGCCTCCCCCCCTGCTGTGATGGCCTGGGGCGCTTCCTTCTGCCCACCCAGGCCAGACCGCGCCCCCTCTCCTTCTCTGTAACTAGACGTGGATGAATGCAGGACCGGGGCTGACCTCTGCTCACACGGCTGCCGCAACACGGCGGGCAGCTTCACCTGCGCGTGCCCTCCCGGGCTGGTGCTGGGCCCCGACGCGCGCACTTGCGTGGAAGGTCCCCGCGAGGCCCCAACCAGCGCCAGCATCCTCAGCGTGGCCGGTGAGCGAGGGTGAGGGGCGGGGCGGAGGGGGCCTGGGGTCCACAGGGGGCCCAGTTCTGGTCACGCCCCGTCCTAGTTCGGGAGGCGGAACACGAGGAGCAGCGCGCCCTGAAGCGAGAGGTCAGGGAGCTGCGAGGCCGCCTGGCGCAGCTGGAACAGGTGAGCAGGCAGACACCCAGCGCCGGGCCGTGGGGCACGATGGGCCCTTACCCGACCTCCTGGGGCACCTTCTCCTTGGCAGTGGGCCGGCCAGGCCGGGGCCTGGGTCAGAGCTGTGCTGCCCATGCCGCCTGAGGAGCTGCAGCCCCGACAGGTGGCCGAGCTATGGAGCCGGGGCGACAGGATCGACTCTCTCAGCGACCAGGTGCTGCTGCTGGAGGAGAAGCTAGGTGCCTGTGAGTCCTGCCCCAGGGACCGGCCCCACCCCGAGACTCCTCCCGCCCCAATTCCGGTTTCCACTCTTCCCAGAAAACCTCCTCACAACAATTTCCTGGCCGTCCCCGCCGAAACCCCCCCACCCCTTTTCTTGGAAGCTGGTCAGTGTCAACCACCCTACTCCAGGTTGGAGACCCTCCCTCAAGCCCCCACCTCCACGTGTCCATCTCCTTGTCATTAACCAGGTTCCTGTGAGGACAACAGCCTGGGCCCCGGCCTCAACCGCTGATCAGGAGCCTCTGCAGCGGCCCTGCCCCTAACTTATAGACACTGGACCCACTCCTCTGGGCGGGCTGGCTGGTCGCCCAGGGGCAGAGGAAACTGGACGGCGGCGGGGCGGGGTGGGGAACAGCAACTTGCCTTGGCCTCCCTGAGGCTCCTGGGTGCGGGCGGCCCAGGATGCCAGGCTGACTTCCCTCGCCCCTAACAAACCCAGCCAGGAAGTGCCCACATCTCTCTCTTTATTCTCCGTTTCTTGCTGTTATCCAGGTCATTAATAAAAACCAGTCACATCCAACTGTGTCCCACCTTCTCCTTTGGCTCCCAGCCCACCTCCCCAATTACGGGACCAGGTCTGGGGTGGGAGGCGGGGAGTGGAGGAAATGAAAACCGGCTTGGAGAGGGAACGCCTCAAACAAAAGAGAAATAAATTAAAAGCCCTCCTCTCCCTTCCGGCAGGGGTTCAGTGCCTTCCCCAGCTCCCCAGGGGGCAGAAGTGAGCGGGCACAGCTCCTGCTGGCTGTCTCCCTGCCCACCCCACGGTGGCGGCTTCTCGGCATGGCACAGCGGGGCTGCAGGGGCCAGTACCCCTGAAGAACTGTACCAGGAAGGGAGGAGGGAGGGAGGGAGGGGAAGCAGAGAGAAATGTGTGGGGACCAAACTGGCCGTCTGTGTCCAGGAGTGGGCACTGGGCATGGGCGGGATGCGACCGCTGAGTTAGAAGAGTCCGCCCGCTGAAGGGGCTCCAAGGGCGGGAGTGAAGGTGCTCAGGAGTCTTCCCAGGAGGTGCTGGGGCTGTTCTGGGAGCAGCTGGAAGGAGCAGCTGCCAGCCCCGGCTGAGGAGTCCTGCTGGCAAACGGAGGAGTCCCTGGCTCCCTGGACTTGGGGGGAGGGTACTGTTTCACGGAGCGGGGTTCACTGGCCAATGTGGATCGGAGGGAGAGGAGACGGGGGGCAGGATGGAGTGTGCCCCACCCTTGTGTAGGGGCTGACCCAC